GAGTATAGTTCCCTGTGCTATACAGTAGTTCCTTGCTGTTTATCTATTTTATATGTAGTAGTGTGTACATGTTACTCCCAAATTCCTAATCTATCCCTCCCTCCCTTTCCCCTTTGGTAACAGTAAGTTTGTTTTCTATGTCTGTGAGTCTCTTTCTGTTTTGTAAATAAGTTCATTTACATCATTTTTTTAGATTCCATGTGTAAGTCAGTCATATCATACAATATTTGTCTTTCTCTAACTTACTCGCCGTCAATTTTAGGTGGAGTATCTATTAATTAACTTTTGGGTCTGTACTTAAGGGAGTTTACCCTTTTATAAATTTCAGAAACTGTATCTTGGGTCTAGTAAGACAATATCATATCCATAGATGAAGTATCTTCTACTGTCCTTTATTAGTTTTAGCCAGTTGTTAACTTCTGTCTCTTTTGAACATGGAAAATATACTGGTTACAAAAATCATGGGAGGAGAATTTCAATCCAGTTACAGCAGTAAAAATATAATTTATAATTATGAATTTAGGACTGTTATGACATTAGTGAGTTCCCTGCATTCACTCTCTTGACAGGCCACATAATATACATTCATATTTTTCAACTTATGTCAGAACTATAGTTGTGAGCTACAGTTTTGTTGTTTTATTTGAATTAATTTTTATCCACTTCAAATGTTGACAATATTGACATATATTCACACTTTCTCCTTAGAGTCTATCGTCTGCCATGGCAAGGTCTGAAGAGTTTTGTGAATTGCTTAGATTATACGAAATCAAGAACCCCAAATGGAATCTAGTTCTTAGTGTTTACTACTTATGTAATTCTACTTGATGAGATAGTTAAATAAAAAATTTAGACCAGTGAGGAATGAGAGAGTTCAAGTGAGGTCAGAAGAGAGCTGTAAAGGAGTGTTGCTTGGCTGTCTGTGTGTTCCCGTTGTGCTGGGCCAGAGCCACCACTGCAAAATATATATTTAAAAAAGAAAAAAAGAGCCTGTACAATGTAATTTCTTTCATTTTAGATAACAAAATAGGAATCCATTTTGGAAGCTGGTGTATTTTCTTTTCCATACATGGAAACAAGGAGAACCCTTGAAGAATTTTGCTAGATTCTCTTAACAAAACTGTGCAAACTGCAGAAAACATGTAAATGTAAAAACTATAGGTATAAACATATGCTTTATACACATTTTGTTTTGTGCAAAAGAAGAGCCTGGGCCTTCCAATGATTTTTACTTCAGTTTAGCAGTAAGGTCACTGGTTTTGAATAGAAAATTTCCAGAGATATTTACTATTAAAATCTTTGCACGCATTCTTTCTCCTTCTTTCCTTTCCCTCCCTCACCCACTTCTTTCCTTGTTTCTTTCCGCTTGACATTTTGCTCTGTGTTTTCATTCTCCCCCCGTTTTCTCCTGCCTGCCTTTTGCCAGTCTCTGTGAGGCCCTCTTTTATAGCCTCTCTCCCCTTCTTTCTCTGGTTTCATCTTCCAAATTCTTCAGTCTCTGAAATAATCTTGCCGCTCTTGACCTTCGACCTCCAGGCACCTGCTCTGCTTAATTTAGAGTTGAACGTGGAAGGTCTCAGGTGGACAAAATGCTTCCTCTTGGCTCAGGAGAAGAAGCTGTCCAGCCAGAACCTGGAGCAGTGGTCTGGCAGCCAGCCAGGAGGAGCTGGCTCATCACAACTCTCCAGAGCCAGTTTTCAGATTCCCCAAATGTGCCCGTTTTCTTAATTATAACCCAAGACTGCTTCATGGAATCTTTTTTTCTTTTTGGTCAGTTTTGTATGGGCTGCTGTTCTCTTACTGATGACTTTTTTGGGTAAAGGAATATTTTATCATTTCTTAAATTAGTATTATTAGTGAAAGATGATAATTCTATGCAATTAGTACTTTGCCTTTTTCAAAACTGCCTTCTCTCCCCCCTCAGAAGAGCAACTACTTTAGCTGGGGATTTTTTTCTTTTTCTTTTTGATAGGATGAAGTACTCTTTATCCCTCAGTAAACTAGCTGTATCTGGGTAGGTCTCTAAGCCCACATGCTTCTCTCTCTTCCCCTTAAGATTTCTGGGTTTGAAGTCAGCAGTAGTTGTGGATAGAGATGCTGGTGGCCTGGAAATTCTTGCTGGTGACCTCACCTGCAGAGACCGTGGGCGTGATGCTGGGATATTGATCTGCCAGGACTTTGTGTCAGGCAAGAAATCCTGTGAAGTTCCTGCTCAAGGTTAACCAAATGGGAGCAGCTCTGAACGGTTTCATTCTTCTGTCCAGTCTCCTACCTTATTAAAATGTTTGAAGAAGCCTTTTTAGCCATGAGTTCTTGCTGACAGGCTGACCCAGGGTCAGGATGGTGGGTAAGGCATTATAACATGCTGTGATATGGGTGGATGAAAACAAACATATGGAGACTTGATACAGACCTGGTGTTAGAAGGGGTTGTAGTGATGATCATCCAACCTTAGAAATGGGGTGCCTCTCATAGAAAGCTGGGAGTTCCTATCCTTGATAATATGATTAAGAGTGGGAGCCCTGAAGTTGACAGGCCTGGATGGGGATCCTGGCCTTGCTACGTATTAGCTGTGTGATCTGGGATCCTAAGCCTTAGTTGTTATTCCCATCTGTGAAATGGGCATAAAAGTAGTATTGGCTTTTTAGAATTTTTATGAGGATTCAATGGGAATGGGGTATAAAATACACAGCATATTTCCTGGTGCTCAGTAAATGACTGCTAATTTTACTATTGATTTAGGACTCTTTCTGCTCTACTGTACTGCTTTCTAACCTTTTCCAACAATCAGATTAAAGGCAGTAACATGTAGTTGTCTTTATTTCCCTGACCCCACAATGTAGAGAACTGTGTGCCAGTGGTCTTCACACTGGGATATGCATCACACCCCAGGGCATTCAGCAAGATGATGTGAGGTGGGCAGGAATAGTTTTAAGGGGACTATTTTCCAGATTTTCAACTCGTAGGTATTCTTTTTTCTAAAACTGAGACTGTATCTGCAGTTAAAGAGTTACACCAGGTTTTTAATTTTTTTCCAACTTCCACTTTCACAGTTACCCCTTTTGCCATTTTTCTAAAGAAAGCCGTCTCTTTTAGCCGTATCAAATCTTACTTTGGTGCCCTGTCTCAACGTGTTAAATCGCAGGCACAAGATAAAATGGGGTCAATTTGAAATACCGGTTTCAGCAAAGCCTCCTTTAATTAAGCCACCATCTCACTCAGAGCTGCATTGTCAGTAAAATTTTACTTTTAGGGCTAAATGCATTGAAATTGGAAGGAATTGTGTCATTTTGATTATAGATTAGTAATGCTATTTGCAGTGATTTTACAATCCAGAAGAGTCTTTATGCTTAAAGCTCATTGGTCACAGGAAATTTTAGAAAATTAAATGTAAAAACCTGTTTTTGTGTTAAAGTATGCTAGGGTGACTAATAAGACACCCTGACACATAGAATTATACTAGGAAACTTGGGGGGGGGATTGACATCGAAATGAGATTTCAAGGAGAAAGAAGAATAATGTAAAATCTCCAACTGTTAAGAAAAGCTTATTTATTTTTGAATGAATGATGTTATGCAATAGGTATTTAGTCATCATGGTTTTTATATTTCATTGGATACATTTAAAATAACACATGGTTAAAATGTCTAAATTTACAATTAGCAGCAAAATATATATATATATATATAT